TCAAATGTTTGCTATCCGCTAGCCTCATACTCTTAATAATCATTGAATTTAAAATTTCAATATTAATTTTGTAAATATGGTTGGAAAGAAAATTAAGCAGTGCCAACATATGTTGGCTTCCTATAAACATCTTTCTGAAAGTGTCTGCTGCTCAATCAATTTCATAACATCGTTATAATTATCATTTGGATATAGCCAACAATTAGTATAAAAAACGTGAGATTTTATACATCACGCTTCCTTTATTATTTACAATTAATCTTAGAAGAACACCGTACTTGTAAATCTCATGCAGACCGTAAGCATTGGGGGCCCCTGAGTCTCTCTGGAGCAGTAAATTCATTTTCCACTTCTCCATTTCACCATTATTTACGCATACCTTAAGGACATACTTTAGCCTAGTTTTCTCTATCAGGAGATTCATTTAAACCCAGTTACATATCTTATTAGTTAAGGACTCGGGAGTCAGGGATTCATGCTTCAAATATCCTTTTAGGAGTGAATTTGATGTCATATGCACAAAAATATAAGTGGTTACGCGCAGTTAGTAGGAGCCTATCCCATTTTTTAAATGTTCTTACTAAGTATGCTTAAAAGATTATTACTACTTTTTTGCCAAACGAGGGGCCTATTTCATACTTGTTCTGCCAGCTCTAGTTTTTCTCGATTCAGATTGGTCAAATCATCCTCAAGGCTGTCTCTGTTAGTCTCCATCATGCTCAATGCCTGAATAAGGGCAGTTTTTTCAGTTTCTAGTTCATTTTTTTCTGCCTCCGTGGAGACGAGTTGATCCCGAAAATCGGCCTTGTCTCGCTCTAGGTTGCGGCGTTCTGCATTCGCCTGAGCCAATTCTGTTTCGCAGGCTTTTAACTGACGCAGGACTTCAGAGCGTTTAGCCAGAAGTTCCTCATGTTTTGTCTGAAATTGTATGAACGACAAAAAAATGTAAAAGCAATTAAGAACGATGCTATAAATAGCATAGTTTAAATTAATAACACTCCAACTCAATTATAATTCTTTGGATTTCACACTTTTTAAAGTAAACATGTTATGATTCCTTTCTTAAACTTTCAATGCTACCTCATTTGCAAACGTCCAAGTTAGTTGCAAATAAATAAATAAATGTATAACCCATAAAAGCCTGAAAAATGCTTTAAGAAATCCATTCATGAAACTAAATTCTGCTAATTAAAAATCGTAAGTTGTTTTAAGAATTATTTTAAAACGTATCTATACAGACATTACATCATTTATATAATTTATTATCCAAAAAATAGCCATTATTAAGTCTTGTAATTTTTCCCATGGAACGCCAAAGAACAATAATTAAGATATGTATGAAGACCAAGATGGTGTGGCTTTTAGTATGGTTGCGGTCTTCTTTCGTTGCATAGAAGTTGATTTACCTTGTTTTCGTAGCTTGATCGTATTGCCAGGAGGATCTAGAGGAACTCATCTTGTCCGGAGTCCATAGTATACATGAGTATCTCTAGAGTTAGACTTTGGACTTGGTACATTCCAAGACATTTCGCTGGCATCTTAGTCGGCATCGTTAGTGAAGCATGTCATTCTAAGCACCACACTACAATTAGTCAAAGTGACAAGTGAAGTCGATCTTTCGACCAATTGCCTGCTGAATAGTTGTACTCTATTTGACGAGTTGCAGGGTGATGCTAAGTATGGTAAGGCTTACTGAAACTCCTGGCGAAACGTCCTAGAATCTACCAAATTCATGGTCCGGCTCTGGAATTTTATATGGATACTATGGACTCCAGACAAGGTGCATTCATATAGGCCTCCCTAAAAATATGAACAAATTGCGAAGACAAGGGTAAACAACTTATATACTCATTTTTAGTTTATAGTTGGTAAGCCATAAGAAAACCTAACAAAAAATTATCCACACTCGAAGTTAACAAATATACTTTAATCGAAAGTAAGAAGACCAAGATGGTGTGGCCTTTTGTGTGGTCGCAGTCTCCTTTCGTTGTATAAAACTTGCTTGACCTTGTTTTCGCAACTTGGTCATATTAGTAGGAAGACTTAGAGGAACGCACTTAGTCCAGAGTCCATTGTATGCATCATCATTTCCAAAGTCGGACCATGGACGTTGTTT